AGGAAATGAACAGACACTTCTCCAAAGAAGATATACAGATGGCCAATAGGCACATGAAAAGATGCTCAACATCACTAGTCATCAGGGAAATGCAAATCAAAACCACACTAAGATATCACCTTACACCCGTCAGAATGGCTATAATCACCAAGACAAGAAGCAACAAATGCTGGAGAGGCTGTGGAGAAATGGGAACCCTAATCCACTGCTGGTGGGAATGCAAACTGGTGCAGCCTCTATGGAAAACAGTATGGAGATTCCTCAAAAAATTAAAAATAGAAATACCTTATGATCCAGCTATCCCACTACTGGGATCTACCCAATGAACCTGAAATCAATAATCCAAAGCGGCTTATGCACCCCTGTGTTCATCGCAGCATTATTCACTATAGCCAAGACATGGAAGCAACCCAAGTGTCCCTCGACTGATGATTGGATAAAGAAGATGTGGTATATATATATACCATGGACTACTACTCAGCCATAAAGAAAGACAAAATCCTCCCATTTGCAACAACATGGATGGACCTGGAGGGTATTGTGTTAAGTGAAATAAGCCAGAAAGAGAAAGACAAACAGTGCATGATTGCACTCATATGTGGAAGATAAACCAACACACAGACAGATAGAACTTTTTGGCGGTTACTAGGGGCTAGGGGGGTGGGGGGTGGTCAAAAGGGGTGGAGGGATGCACTTATTCTTTAGACTCTTTTGGAAGTTTTATTAACTCCTCTAAACTACATAGTTAGTCACTGATTACTACTTCATTTTACTACCACTTGCAGCTTATCAAAGGGGCCTGCCTTACAGCACTAGGCACCAGAGTATTTAGCGTGTTCATTTTCAATGATAATTAAGATGACTGGTTTTGATAGAAGTAGTTTGGCAAGTGGGAAAAAGCCACAAATTCCAATATTTAATAAAGAATAATAATGTGCATGAGGGGATTGTTTTGTTTCATTTTTATTTTATTCATTTTTTTTTTAATTTTCAAATGTCAAAGCTATCATCTGTGGTGTAGAATTTGTGGCTCTCCTCAAAAAGCCATGTAGTAGTTCAGCCACCAGGGGAAGCCTAGAGAGTCTGTATCTAATGTACCTGGGCCAGCCAGGTATTGGTTTGGGGCTTAAAAGTGTTCCAAAAATGTGGCCAAACCTGTCTTGCTGCGCAAAATACTTCCTCTATCACAGACACACAGACCTGTAAAGCATTTGAGTTTTTTCTCTACAACACACGGTGAAGGTTTCCAAATTAAGTGGTGTTTCTATATTTGAAAATTGGAAAAAGTCATTGAGTAGGAAAGAAAGGATAAAGAAAGGAATAAAGCAGCTACTGTTCAACAAATTGAAATGACAGTAGTTGTGAAAGCCAGTTAAGTCAACACAACATAAAACAGAATAATAGTGATGGTTGTAAGCCGGGTCCTGGGGAATAAGAGAACCATCCACTAAAAACAGTATTTTCTTCAGAGCCAGATGAATCTCTTCAGAGGTCCCAAACCCCAGAAAGGCTCTCCCTTCTCAAAATCCCAATGTGGAAATCAAAATAAAAACAGTATTAATATACATAGCACCTCATTGAGCTGTACTCTTATGACTTGTACACTTTACAGTATACGTCAATAGAAGACAAATAAAACACAAGTTACGTATACATGCTGAAATTAAAATAATTTTTTCTTTAGTGCCCTTCTAATCCAGCACTGATTCTCACAGGAAGAAATAAATAAAATTAAAACATAATGTCATTATAAATTGTTTTAATGACCACGCTCTTAACTTACTTAGAGACTGCAATAGCTTTAACTTGTATTTTTCCATCAGGCAGAGTAATAGGCTTCGTATACTTAAATGTATTATTTTCACCATAACCAATTCTCTTTAGAAATTCAGGTTTGCTGCCATCCAGGGTATAATATATGTTGACATCTGGGGTGTCTGAAAAACCCAAACAGGATAACTGTAATTAACACTAAAGTAGCAAGTCCCTGAATAATGCTCATGGGTCAGTTACTTAATGTGACTTTTTTTATGTATTGTAGAAATGAATAACAACAACTAACAATAAGTGAGTTCTTTCTCTGTGCCAGGCACTAGGCTTTACATGAATTAGTTCATTTCCTCTGTACAATCCTATATGACAGTTCCTATTTTATATCCACTTTATAGACGAGAACACTGAGTCTCAGAGAGGTTAAGAAACTTGTTAAATAACAGCAAAGTTGTGATTTGACTTTGGCTAGGTTGATCCATAGCCCACGCTCTTGAACTATTATGTTATTTTGCCTCTCCAGTAGGGCACTGATACAAATAGAGAAGTCAGTTTTAAGACTACAACACCCATTTAGAAAGCAGAAGCTAACTTTTAATTTTTTGAGCATTGCTTCAGAAACGCCTTAATTACACTTTATTTGGACTTGGTAAACGATTCCTACACTTCTTGGAAAAATTTTAAAGATAATAAATTCATATGATTCAAGGTTCAAAAGGTTAAAAACGTTGCTAAGAGAGTAGATCTTAAAAGTTCTCATCACAAGAAAAAAAAATCTCTAACTATGTGAGGTGGTGGATGTTAACCAGACTTGTAGTGACCATTTCACAATATACACATATATCAAAACATTATCTCGTACACTTGAAACTTATATGTCAATTATATCTCAATTTTTTAAAAAAAATGTCAAAAAAGGATATATAATTAAAACTCTCCCTCCCATCTCTGGTATCAGCTGGCCAAAGGCAATCAATGGTATTTTGAGTATACTTTCAAAAATATTTTACATCCATACAAGTATATATGTACATATTCTTATTTCTCCCTCTCTTTTAACAGAAATGCGGGCATGCCATTCCCTGTTCCAAAGAATTCTTTTTTCACTGAACAATATTACCTTGGATAGTGTTCTATGTTGGTATATAAAGAGTGTCCTCATTCTTTGTTACGACTGCATTGTATTCTCTCCTTATACATATGAACCACAATTTAACCAATCCCCTACAGATGGACATTTAGGCTATTTTCTTTTTCTTTTTCCTTTTCTTTATTTTGCCATTACAAGCACTGTAACAAATAACTTTGTAAAAAATTCTTTTTATGTACATAAAATATATAAAACTAGTGCTGTTGAGTCAAAAGATTTCTGCATTTGTAATTTTGGTTAATATTGACAAACTTCCTTCCATGAACGTTGAAACAATTTACACTGCTACCAGCAATGCATGAAAGTGCCTGTTTACCCATACGGTGTGCTATCAATTTTTCTTTTATTTTTGCCGATATCCTCAGTAAAAAACAAAAAACAAAAAACAATGTCTTGTAGTTTTAACTCATATTTCTTGCATTTTGAGTAAGAGTCATTCAATCACTCAACAAATATTTACTGAATACCTATTATGTGCCAGACATTGTTCTAGGCACTGGGAATATACCAGTGACCAAAGTCCCTGCTCTCACGTAGCCTCCGTTTTAGGAAGAACACACAAACAGTATACAAACAAATAAGTATATACATTCTGTCAAGTGGTGATTGAATGCAATGGAGTAAATAAAGTGGGAGAGAAGGTCTGCTCAGGAAGCACGTACAGGGGTGGATAGAAGCACATTCTCATATGTTTAAAAAACATTCATATTTCCTCTCCTATAAAATGGCCTTTCACATCCTTTGCCATTTTTCTATTGGGTTATTACTCTTTTTGTTATTGAATTGTAGAACCTCTTTATTTACTAAACAATTTAAATATTAGAGAATTTGGATACCATATCATTTATATCATCATTTGTCAATAATCACCCAATTTCTTCTAAGAGTTATGGCCACATTTATTAAAATTAGTATTTTGGCTTGAAAATTTTTAAAAATATTAGCTTTTAAGATAAAGGGAAATATAGCGTAACGTAACATATTCTTAGTTGGAACTCTCAGTCTAGGAAGTACAGACACCACCATAAATATAGATAAATAGTTTTTACACATATCAGTTATTGAAATATTTAATTGGAATCTCAAAGGTTTTTAAACAAGTATTTGTTCATATGTTTTATCTATAAAACTTTCCCTTCTCCTTATGTTAATTATATGTTTTTTTTGGGCCGGCCCCATGGCTTAGCGGTTAAGTGCACACACTCCGCTGCCGGCGGCCCGGGTTCGGATCCCGGGCGCGCACCGACGCACCACTTCTCCGGCCGTGCTGAGGCCACGTCCCACATACAGCAACTAGAAGGATGTGCAACTATGACGTACAACTATCTACTGGGGCTTCAGGGAAAAAAAAAATAAATAAATAAAATTTTAAAAAAATTATGTTTTTGTATACATACGTATGTAGATATATATATATATGAATGTGTATACATATATATATATTCCAGCATTACCAGGAAATACAGTCACTGCTTTATTTCTGTAATAATAGTTAAGATTTGTTTTGGCATTACTATGTGCCAGACCCTGTGCATCTCACATAAAATATCAACTCATTCAATCCTTACAATGGTTCTAAATGGTAGCTATTATTATTACTGTCTAACAATGAGGAAACTGAGACTCAGAAAGGCTAAGTATTGAAGGTCACTAGAAGTTGTCAAAGCCAGGATTCAATCTCAACCTGTCTGACTGGAAAGCCTTTGTTTCTAAGTCAAATTTATTATCCCAGCAAAATAAGAAGAATCCTGGGAAAGTTTGGGGAAGCACGGGGACATCTTACCTTGGCTAACGTGAGTCAAGGCACTGCTGCAACTATATACCTATACAAATGAAACACTGGTGAAAGCTAACCTCTGTAATCTAAATACACACCATTCTATCAACCACCAGGTACAACACTGTTTCAAATTTTGGAAGTTTTACAAACTTCCTGAGGTCCTGACCATAGAAAGCATGCAAAGAGGTAAATCAACAACCAGATGAACATAAAGAGTACAGTAAAATTATTTTAAAGGATTTCAAGTACATTTGATTCTTACCCGATTTCATTTCCAAAAGTGTATTGTTATCAATTTCATGGTTGGCTTTTCCAGGCTGAGGCACTCGCAGTGGTATGATCTGAGGGACACACACTGAACCAGCAGTCATTTTCCCTCCTTACATTAAAAAAAAGTGGATGAAAATAAATTCCAATGGGCACCTATATTTGAACACAAAAGCTGAAGAGAAGCACCTCATTTAAATACAGTAAAACTAGCAAAAACTAAAGAGAATACTGTTAATACACCACCTACAAATATTATTCAATTTTTAATTGAAATAATTGTTTCAGGTCTTGTGTGGGGTTTTGAGTCTCTAAATACTTGCCTCACTTCTGGGAAGAGTACGAATAAACGGGATGGGGAAACGGAATTATCTTAAATGGAAAATTAAATGAATATGTCAGAACAGAGACCATCACTAACGATGTGATCTGAGCTCCCTCTGACCATTATCACCCTTTCCTGCCTCTTATTAGTGTGCCACCTCTCTTGGCTTCAGGGCAAGTCATCACACAAGAGGAACAGAAGTAACTCTGTATGTAGCATTAAACATTAATCTAGAGCCAACTCCTTTGGGAAAGCTCCAAGTTCAAGGCCCTGCAGCTGTGGCCAAGTGGTTCTTGCATTTCAAAGCTGCAAAGAAACTCTAGAGGGATGGCCGAGTATTATGCCTCAGCTGAAAGCAAGTTGGCGTGGATATAAACAGTGAGCAACAAACACAAAAGTCTCTCACTCCATTTTTGTATTTATAAATAATTAAGTACGGGTATGGAGGCCTTACTGATCTTTCTCCTGGGGATAGGGGGCGGGGGGGGGGGGGTGAGGTCATAATTTTTAATACATAAAGGATTCAGGGGGAAAAAAGCGACCCTCACCTTAATACAGCAACCATTTACATCTCTGTATGGCCTTTT